CTTCTAAGTTCGTATACATAGATGACACGACACATACAACCGATTCTGTTTTTACATAAATCTTTTTTTTTTGCGTGTAAAAAAAATTCGTATTTTAATATGCATTTAAAAGCTTAACGGTAAAATAAGACATTATTGTCCTTTGTTTCTTTCATTTGCTGGAACTCAAGGGTAGACCATTGTTAGAAATATAATAAAATCTTATAAAGTAAAAAGTGGGTTTTATTATGTATAATAAATTAATAATTGTAAAAAGTAAAGGAACCTGTTAAGTGGCAAACGAATGGAAAATAACATTAAACGCTTTCAAAATGTTAAAATATTCATGTGAATCATTTATGTATCATGCAATATAGACAAACAAAAAAAAAAGTATTTTCGATGATTTGTTAATTTGGGAACGAAAGGGATAAATGCTCTACTAAATAGAATGCCATTTCCTCTACGAGTAGTACGGGGAAACACCTGAGCAACACGCGACAGAAATGCATCTGGCGTAACATTCGATTCCTGTTACTTCTATTTACGATCAACACTTTCCAATCGTCGACACGTGGCTAAAACCGACGTTTATGACTTGCAGAATATGAAAGGATCCGCTCGTCGATGATTTTTAACGAGGCGAACACGTTTCGATAACCTTTGCGGCGAAACGAATCGACGGGCAACGTTCGAGATCCTCATCCCGATTGCATTACAGATGGCATCGTGAAATCGATTTACGAGCTGGACATTGTCCATCGTCGTCTTCTTCCAGCGATATTTTCTCTTTTCGATTTTCTTGCGAGCGGAAATTTGCATGCGTTGACGAATACGAGCGTACTACAACGGAGATTGAATGCAAACGCAACGTTTTATGCTTGAGTACATTAATAACTTGTGTACTGAGGCAATTTTATTTGTATAACGAAGTATTTAAAAACTGTTAAAAGAATTGCAATTGTAGCAAAATGATTAGAGAATAAATACAAATAGAACTGAAGTTATTGGGTGTACCAATCAGTAATCCACTACTTTTTATTCAATAATTTCGAGGAAATCAGAATTCACTTTGTAAGAAGAAAATGGTAGAAAGATGTTTTAAATTTAAACTACGTTACTAGTTTCTGAAAAAGAAATAGTGGATTACTTATTAGTATAATTACGAATTAATGTTTTCGGTATCCGAGCAGAAATGGATATGAAGTTACACAACTATACAACTGGAAATTCATGGAATAATTGCAGCTACTAAACGTTACTGCAAATTCACTTCAACCTCAAACGAGAATTAAATTTCTATGGCAGAGTGTTGATCGAAATTCAGAAACAATTGGTGAAAAAGCATAACACTAGCAGAAAAAGGAATAAATTTTCATTATAACGAAGGTTTCACCGTACCCAAAAAGGAAATTGCAATAGATACCAGTCACTGATACACCAGTAGATTATACATAAATATTGTAGCTGTTATGTAAGCTGGAACAGTAGGTACTACTTTCTACATTCTATGGTTCATTCATTTCTGATCCTACGAGATCGTATGTTTGCTAGGAGAACTGCTAAAAATCTAATTTAAATTTAAATCGTCTCCTATATTAAATCATCTCGTCTTACATTGTTCGAACCGGTTATTTTTACGTCAAGGATGAATACGTGATTACCCCCTTGGTCGTCGTATCAAATAGATCGATACAACCGTATTTATATCTTACTACGTTGCGTCGTAACACCTTCATCCCTCGATTGTACAAGTAAAATTAACAAGACCTAATTCTGTCGTTTAATAATACCACAAGCATTCGACAACATTCTCTGTTATTTCGAGAACTATAATTCAGCTTCTATATAGATAATTGCTACCGTGTGTACATGGAAAATGTTACCTTGTCGTTTCAAGGTAATTTGATTATTTATAATGTCATCGCGCGGCGAATATTTGCGCTGCGTTAAAGGGTAGCATCGCGAAAGGAGGTCAAGGATTATTTCATACCGAAAGAAAGGGTTAAAAAATGACTACAACCTGCCCTATCCTGTTTAATGGTTACATTTGGACCTTTCGTGACATTAATTTATTCGGAAGCCGGTTGATGAAATGTATACCGATCCTCGAAAATCTAAAAGATGGCTTTATTTTTTTTTTTTACCTAACTCAGACCTGGATAATGTCACTTGTCGTTTCAAAATACTTAAATTGTATACACTGTAATCGTGTCGCGAATATATACACAATCTTGAAGGGTTACATCGCGAAAGTAGGCCAAGGTTTATTGGATACCAATTTGGAAAGTTAAAAAATGCCTGCAGACCCGCCCCACCCTGCTTAATGGTTACAGCTGGACCTGTTAGCATTTCTCGGTGCACAATACAGGTGGTTCGCGAAGAGTATACCGATCCTCTAAAAAAAACGTCTTTGTGGCATAAATTATGAAATTCGTTGAATTTTAATTCGTGGAATAAAGATATTTTCTTTGCACGCATATCACGTCTGCAATTTCTGTCTGGTCAGAAGTGATGGAAAAAACGTAAATGACTTTGGAATCTTGGAAATTATGAACTTAGAAAGAAATGTTCTATGTTAACGTGTCCTTGTAATACCGTAGCTCAAAACTGACTGACTGCAACCAAATAAATTGAAATTTATTATTGTTATGAAGGTTAAATGATTTGATTTTAGTATCGAAGGTCCCTGCCTTCTCATAGTGCGCTGCAAGAACATTCACTGTACTCTTTGATCACAGTTCGTACGTATAAGGTTGTACCATATAAAATTGCAGTTTCTATAGATCAAAATAGACACGCTTATTTAAAAAAAAATATTTTTTATTTGATTGAAACGTGCACCGTGACGATTAATAGCTTTCTTCGAACATGATATCATCCAATACATTCTATTTTTATAAAAATTGGAATTATCAGACTGTATGAATTCTTCGAACTCTGCAACTACCTTGTAGTCTCCTGTAGAGAACGATTTGTTTCTTAGAAGGAGCTTCTGATAACACAAACAGTGATCTTGTGTTGGAGAAACGTATAGTAAATGTCGTGACTAACGCAAGACTTCATAATTCAATTCAGCTAACCTTGCCATAACGTAATTTAAATTCATATTGAAAAAGTAATTGAAATTATTCCTTCAGTATAATATTGTTCACTTACACAGAATAGTTGAACAATCACAATAAGAATTCAATAATCAAAAGAGATAGAGCAGCAAAGTAATGGTAACTTCTGCTTCGTAAACTAGAATAGTACTACTTTCTACATTCTCCTTGTAGACCTCGTCCGAACTCTTTGTTTTGAACGAAATTTCCATCAGAAAGATCTGATAACGTGGCAACAATAAAATGTACAATTTACTGGCACACAATCTCCAAACGGCTACAAATCTAAATTACTTGAACGGTTCCAATAGATACACCATGATCTAGACCAAATGAATGGAAAATGCATTCGCGATGCTGATTCAATCGACGACTCTAAATTACCACGAAATCGCTGTCAAACACGCAGAGGAGATTGATATCTTATTCCGACGATAGTCGAGAAAAAATTGCAGCGTCATTAACACTAATTTTATGGAAAGTTGTTTCAACCGATCGAGATACTTTCTATGGAGAAATGGACGATGAACGTCACGTCCTTATTTTGTGAGTAATCTAATTATTGTTCCTTTCCTATTATTTATTTCCATTAGTTTTTTTCATTTGCCTTTCATCTATTTATCACTTCAACAATTTAACAATATTTAAAAGTTTGCTCATGGACCCATCACTAGATACGGATCGTTTAACTATATGCGTCAAAGATTTATATAAAACGACAAGCCGTTTAATATATGATTCAACAACAGGAAGTGGAAAAACGCATCAATGTTTTCGATTATAAATCCCGTATGGGCTTCTCTTTCGAAGAACCGTTAGCGTCGTGGACCATCTTGGGAAATTACTTCCTTCCCCGGTCCTTAATTAAGTGCATGCACGTTCGATTACAGAAACTGTTCAAATTGTAAGGATTAGTCCGTTCCAGTGACTCGGCAGCCTTCGCGAAAAGGAACGAAGGAAAAATTTACGCCACTTCTGTGCTAAACGCGACGCGATATCCTTGACACAGAATTGATATACTCTTGAATTGTAATTTATAAGGAAGAAAGAGTTAGGGATTTGTTCTTGATATTTTTACAGATATTATATACCACACTGATCCGTCCTTAGCTACTTAATTTGGAGAAATTTTGTTGAATTTGACAACTTATCAGAGATACTGTTGAAAACAGATAAATAACTATATTTTCGAAGAAATGATATGAAATATTTTAGAGTTTAGAAAGTAAACAAATACTGCGCCGAGTAAATAGTATAATGAACTTTGAATATTTGAAATTCTTACTTCACTATTAAAAGTGTTGATAACTATCGATACGATAACTCAGCGAAACAATTTTGTTTTCTGCAACAATATGAATGTACCTACAACTGAAGGCACTATTGCACTAACGGCCATAGAGTTCCGTTGAAATAGGTACTGCAACGGCAATTTGTAATTTACTTGCGTGCAGATAAATACCAGATGATAACAGAAGAAAGTGGAGCATCGAAACTTTTTTAATTCTGACTCATCATTATACAACATATTGATACTTTTGAAATGTACTATATAATTAAATTGAAAAATAGATGATCACTTAGTTAACTATAATATATTGAGTCGTATCTTACTATACATGAAAATAAAATAAACTACCACTTCTCATAACACTATCAAATAACGAATTTTTAATGTTCAGATGACATTATAAAATTGTATTATATATTATCAAAAAGTAATGTGAATGTAATATAATGTTGCATAATAAAATTGATACATAAAGTTTAGTTAATATTAATTATACTTTTATCGGTATACTGCAACAGAAATGATACCAAGAAACATTCTTCGTCGATTAAGACGTAATTGATATTCTGCTCGTAACCGAATTCATATACTTTATTAATTTTTTTTTTACGAGTATCAGCACTTACCTGAGTGCTACGCTCACGAAGACCTTCGGTTGTGACGAAGAGCAGCACCACCAATGCCACCACCGTGCACCACGAAAATCTCCGCACCATTCTGCACAAATACAGTTGCTAAATTATAGTAATTTATTATTTCTTAATTCTTATAATACTATACCGATAGTATAGTAACCCAACTGTAATTAACCATTAAGTATCAAGCAGTGAAATAATACGATTTTTAAACATAATATTTTTTATCTTGTACGATATCACATACCCAAGTGGAAGAAGAAATAGTGACGAAAGAATTATTAAACAAACCTTAAAATTCCCTTTCATAACCACATTGTGAAAAAAAAACATAATTCAATAATGTAAATTGACTGGAAAAAAAATTGCATACTATATGATGCATTAACGCAAAATTGATCCGCAATGGATTATACCTAACCTATATTATATTAAAGGAACGAAAACAGAGCTCCTATTTACTGCAGTATGTATTCGAAAAATTGTTTGATCAAAATTTTTATCTGAATTGTAAAATACAGAATGTTTATGACTCTGTCCTTAAAAACGCTACGAACTTTCCTAACAAGCATCTACTTTAAGAAAAAATAAAGTATTGGACTCCCATAAGTTTAATATTGTTTAACTAAATATATATATTTACCACTTTATACAGCCACTGGGAAGATTCCATTTCAATTATTCAACTGTCAATTTTTTTTATAACTCTTTAATTAACACTAGAACTACCACCACTGAATGTATACCAAATTAAATTGTATAATACGATAATATACAGAATATATAAGACAATCTAGCATAATACACCATCAAATAAAATCTGTAGTAAATTAAAAGTCAATATAAATTTCATCAAAACCACCATTATAATTCCAGTAATGGTAAAATAGTAAATTTATAATCCATCACCTTGACGGGTTCGGTAGTTCTAGTATTAAAGTATTCAGTTTTACTCATTATCCTATGTCAAGATTAATAAATGCGTAATACTATAAACAATTTCTACTGAGCTGAACACTTCTGTAAAGTGGTTGAATTTTATTTATTCATGAAATTTGGTCGAGTCATTCTTTTTAACGTAAGCACAGAAATAACTATCTCTCGCGTATCCTTCAATTCCCTTTCCGTTCCGGCCACACGGTATACAGAGAAGAGTTTAATGGATTCAGGTGCGAAAGTCGACCACTGCCACCTCAGATTTAAATTCACTTTTACTCGCGTAATTCCTGGTCCGTTAACTGTTCTCGTAATTCCCTGTCGGCACAAGCTAAACACACAAGGAACGCCTATGAGATCATACCTTGGCTAGTGGAACCGCTAAACAATGTAATTAATGCCTGGCAATTTCCTTGTGCCGGACACAACAGACCTCCACGAAATTACCTCTGATATTAAATTATCTCCCGTTCTTGTATTGTTCGAACCAGTTATTTTCACGTCATTAAGGATGAATACGTGATTATCCCTCTTGTGGACATCGTATCAAAAAAATCGATCGAACTGTATTTTTATCTCGTTACGTTGCGCCGTAATACCTCCATCGCTCAATTATACAGGTAAAAATAACAAGACCTAATTCTGCCGTTTAATAATATCACAAGTATTCGACAACATTCTCTGTTATTTCGAGAAATATACTTCGGCTTGCAATTGCAACAGTGCGTACTTGGAAAATGTTGCCATGTCCTTTCAAGGTACATAATTCGATTATTTACAATGTACATCGCGCGGCGAATATTTACACTGCGTTAAAGGATAGTGTCCCGAAAGGAGGCCAAGGATTATTTCATACAGAGTTAAACGGTTAAAAAATGATTACAACCCGCCCCACCCTGCTTAATGGATACATCTGATCCTTTCGTCGTACATATTACTCGATTCGAGAGCCGGTTAACGAAAAATGTACCGATTGTGTGATTTCATGCAATTAAAGTATCGTTCGCATGGAACTTCAGGGTAGATCACCTTGAAACCTTGAAAATTGTGAAACAGTTTGTTTATATTATCTATAACCTAAGGAAATCTTTAAGGGAAGGAAAAAATTTCTTATTTTTATTCCTGGCTTCAACAAATACTTTGAAAATGTCTTTTTGCATGAAGATTCGCCGACTAGTTAGCAAAAATAAGTTATCTTCAACTTGATCAGACAAATAATAGAGAAACGATTGCATACACACTTAAGAAATATTTATGTATTTTTAACTTCTAACAAGGAACATCTTTGTAACTTTACAAGTTTGTAGGGGACCTCATTGGAAGTATCAGGCAATTTTCTTTATTTGCTAATTTTTGGATCTTTAGGTTGAAACCACTTCTTGAAAGTTTACGCGTATTTTCCAATTTTACTGTATAACATAAAAACTGTAATAAATAGAACAAAATTCCTGGAATCTATAAAACTGTGCAATGAAATTGGTAAAAATTTATGTATTCGCATATTTAAAGAACAAACAAATTTTTAACAATTTCATTAGACAGTTCTCGAAAAAATGAAAATCCGTTAAATTTTCGTTCTACGAGGAGATGTATTCAGCCTGAAGGACCAAAAAGTACCAAAAAAAGAAGAAAATTGCCTGATTGTTCTATCGAGGTCGCCTACAAACCTGCAAAATTGAAAAAGAATCGAAATTTTCGAATTAACTAAGTTCCGGATATCTGTACAATGGATGTGTTTCGACTGAAACGATAAAGGAAAATGAAAATACAGGAGTTATTGTTTGTCATGATAATGTCAACACTTGTACATAGACAGGAATTGATGGTACAACTTGAAACTAAAAAAAAACCGGTCTTCAAGGTTTTGACAAACGGTGATCTAACGAGACCGTCTCAAGTACAAGGCGAGTCGTGATGATCGTGAGCTCTCTCGATCCTCCTTCTTCCTCCTTTGGCACAAAGATCGCCGAGTAGTGGAGGAAGATCAAGATCAGCCGCGGATCGACGACCGTACTCGAAATACCGTTAGACTCGATCGCGTTTGCATTGCGATTCATTAACATCGTCCATTCAGGTTCTCCCTGTTCGTTTTCCAGACTCTCAGACCTGTCTACTTTTTGTAATTTTATTTATAAATACCACGCATTACAAATATATTTTCAGTAAAAATTACTTCTCGTGCTAGGTGTCCTGTAATTTCTTTTGCAAATGACAATGGATTGCGAAATAAACTATAAGACAAACATGAGAATATACAAGGAAATACGAACAAATGCTATAGTATTTTATCAAAATATATTCACTTAGAATATTGTGTTGGGGAGAAAATTCTTACGGACCTGTCGTAGTATTTAAATATTCTTATAGACATTTAAATAATTTTATGAAACAAAGTATAATGTTTAGTAAGTAGACTGCGAATTTTATGCATTCATAGCATACACAATTGTTTAAAATTCAGTACACAAAAATAGTTCATAGAATTTAACAGGATTTTTATTCTATTTATAACTTAATAGAACCCTTAATAGAATAAATAAAAATTTCCCTTCTATTTTAGCTTTTGCAAATTACACAATAAAAATCCGTATTTACTTAAACATAGACAGTTTAATAATACTTGACTTCGTCAATTTCTGACATTTAAAAACGTTCTTAGTTTTAACGAATTCTGAATACTATTTTCAATATTTTTAAACGTTTATATACATTTCAGAACATTTAAAAAAAATAAAAGTGCTTCCTAAAGAAACTTTTAAAAACACTCTTATAAGAATTAGTAAAAATTAATTTCCTTATGTAACGTTTTCCAGGACACTCTAATAGAATATTGACACACCAAATCTACATTCTTAATAAAATAATAGAACAAATTCTGTCAATTTTACAAATTATTAGGTGTACCAATGATCAACTCACTATTTCTACGAACTAGGAAACGATACATTTTAAATGTTAAATATCTGTCCGGCCTTTCACCGAGTAAGTACGGCGTAGAACGTTAGAGAATCATTATAAATATAAACGAAATAATATAGATTCTTAACATTCAGATAATCGATTTCTGATTTTATTGAGAAATAGTCCATTGCATATTGGTTCACCTAATATATTACAAGTTGCCGAAGTAGGTTAGAAAACTTACAAAACACTAGGTATACAAAAACCGATCGGATTTGATTAATGATGCATGTAGAAAGAAGGTATCGATAAATACCGTCTATCAACAATTAAACGTCGCTATTATAGCCGAGAAAGGAGACCTATTAATTATTAATTCCTCGATAACGTATTACGATCAGCAACGAAAAACGTTCTCGGTTCCAGCGTCGAACCCTTTCCACAATCGTTCTCATGCGCACGAATCGGTTACGCGGGAATCGAAAGTAAATTCTCCACGACTACGGTCGCGCGTATCAGGTTCTGCTCGCGATTGTGAAGCATATTCCGTACTGGACACGAATATTCCAGCCATAACTGAGAACAATTACAACTCAGTGAATTTATTTTTAACAATTTAATTTCAACCAATCGCCCTTATTAGTCTGATATTTAAGAGTAGATGGAGGAAGATATCAATGATGACATTTTACTACTTCTTCGTAGAAATGGTCACTGTTGATGGAATGTTTCATCCATTTTATTCGTCTAGCTTGAGAAAGAAGGCACCGAGATAAAGGGTATTTCCCCCGCGAATGCACGTGCTCGGACAACAATAGATCCCTTCTTCTATTCTCTCTCTTTAGGATTTTCTAGCTTCAAACTTAGCTGAGAAGTAAAAGCAACTCTAAGCTTTTGTCTGTCTTCTACGTTATCAGACGTGACGTTAGTATTGCGTTAATAAACTACCATTTAGGGTAAAAAGAAGCTAACCAACTGTTAAATATAAAAAAGTTGAAACAAAATATAATACAATATTGTGAATTACAAAATTCAATTATATTTACTATAATATAATACATATATATTATATTTATATTTTCTACACATTCAGGAATTATTTTATTATAAAAATTGGAATATCCACATTTAATTAATTCAAAAATAGCGAAATACATTTTTATCTTTTATTCGTTATTCGGAACTCTTTATCTAGATAATGAATTCCGCCTACCTCTGCTTTAAAGTCACAAACCTACTTCGAA